TCCCATCCCATCCCGTCCCACCGCCCCGCCCCGCGCCCCGGCTCCCGCAGCCTCGCTTGCGGAGCTGCCGCTCTGTCTTTTCTTCAGAAAAAGGACAAAAGTTCCTTTCGCTTACTGCTGAGCTCATTCTTAAACATTTATATTAGGGGGGCTTGCGGGGAGGAGAAATAATTGTGTAATGTCTTAGGAGCAGGGAGCATTCCAAAAGCATGACTGCGTGGCCCTTTCCAGCACTAACAATCTGGCAGCCAAGTCCTCCCAGTGGCCGCCAAACCCCCTAAATCCAACCCCAGCCCCTCGGCGCCTCCGTGAACAGGGCAGCAAGATCCCTGGGGTGGGTGGGAGCAGAGGGGGGACCCGGCCAGGCCACCCAGCCCGGGCAGCAGTGGTGCCACATCCCCAGCAAAGGGCTCAGGTTGTCAAACTGGAGGCAGGAGGTAGCAGCTTTGGATGTCTGTGTTTCACTGAGACCAGTTGTATTTCGTTTTCACTTTGCCAAGTGCCTTTTTGGTGTCCCAACAGTTTCAGTTGATGCTACAGGTAGTATAGGGAGAGACTCTGTGAGACTTTAAATGGAATCCATGTTCCCAACAGCTACTGCTTCTCCAGGGAAATGTTTTTTTTGAGTGGAAAATAAGCCAAGTCACTGTCTTCCAACAGGTTATCGGGAGCGTTTAACCAGGTTCACCTCCTAACTTGCTGTTTGCACTGGAGAGGCGTATTGACATGAAAAGTAAGGAATGTATTAGCAAATATTGATCGGCCCTGGGGCAGCTCAGGCAGGCATTGCCCAAGTACAGGCATCTGCTGAGATTGTGGCATGTTACTTGAAGCTTTCAGCAAGACACTTGTACTGCCCTGAGTCTGGGAAGGCTGTCACTTCCGTGGGAGGTAAAATAAGAACATGGCATGATGTCCTTTGGAAAAGGAGGTAAGGGCAGGCAGCGTTTTCCCACAAAGCTCAAGCACTTGTGGTTGAAGCTTTGTTTAGGCTTTAAAATTCTTCTATTCCAAGTCCCTTTCTCTGTTTTGCTTGTGGATGTTTTTGTGGGATTTAGCAATGCAAACAAGCCAGCCTGGCTGCTCTGCTTCAGCTCTGGGTCTGGGCAGTTGCACTTTGCTGCTGCTCTGGGGGGTGCTGTAAGCCCAGGCTGTCTGGTCATACCCAAAGAGTAGGTCACAATTTCAGAAAAAGTTTGTCGAGGTCTCAGACTGCATTTGAGCTCCTTCTTTGCTGATCCCACTTCACTTGGATATGGCAGGTGTAGGTCTTCAGGTCTCAGGCAGCTTTCCTGGGGTAAATGCAGACAGTTCCTCAGTGCTGGGTGGTTCTGGCACTGGTGGCAGAAGAGCTGGGAGGCTCCTGGAGTGGGCACTGGTGCTGCTGGGTGTGGGTCATGCTCTGGGTGTCAGCGGGGGTTGTTGGGGTCAGCAAGGGCTGGAAGTTGGTCTCCTCAGTGCTCCACAGGACTGAGCAGCTTGGCATGCCCAGGGCTGAGTGAGTGTGGAATTGCAGCTGCTGTGGTGCCAAAACCAGTGCTGCTTTGATGGACTCCAAGCTGTGATCTGCCCCAGAGCTTAAGGCCTGAGTTCTGCCCCGGCTCTTGTGTTTCCCTTTGGCATTGCTTTTGGAACATCCTTCTGCTTCTGCATACGAGTCCCTCTGATATCTGAGACACTTGTCCTGTGCTGCCTTGGCCGTGGTTTAGATGTCTCCGCAAATTAGAGCTTCCCCTTGGTGGACATGCCTGTCAGATTTAGAAGTTGAGTTTCTTTTCCGTTGCATGAGCTGTGCCCGTGAGTCCTCCCAGGTACAGCTGTTGCTGTTGGGAAGCATCACTGTGGGACTCTCTGCTGGGGGTGCATGCGAATGATCCATGTGCTCCATCACTCTGTCCCCAAGCACCTTCAGTCCCTTCCTATTACTTGGGGGCAGCTGTGGCCTTGACCTTCACTTTTTAGGAGCTCCCTGCTCCCTGCTGATCAGAGCCATGATCCACTGGTGGGGCAGGAGGGAGCTGCTCCCAGGAGGTTGAGGAGGGGGGCACTCCCTGTGCCCCCAGGCCCGGGGCTCTGGCAGCCCCGTGGTGGCCTGTGGCCATCAAAGCAGCTCCTGTTTGCCCAGCAGAGCCTCTCTGGGCCCTGTCCCCAGGTGCCCTCGCCTGGCGTGTGGTGGCAGCAGCCCTGTGCACACACAGCCATGTTTAGAAGTGGAGACAGCGTGTCCTTGGCTGCGCCGGTTAGAAAACATTTTCTGTGCTCCCTGCTGCTGCTCCGTGCGCGCGGGATGCTGTGAGCTGCCTGAGCTCTTGTCTGTGTGACAGGTTGCTCAGCCTGAGCTGAAGGCGTGTTTTGGAGTTCTTTAAATGAGTTATGTGCTGTAGGATTGTTGTAGCCTTGAGCTGGGTCTGTGCTGTATCAGCCCAGCTCCTTCCCAAACAAGAGTTAAACCCAAACAGTCCAACTTTTGTTTGTTAAGCTGTTTAAAAACTTAGCAAAGCTGAAGACACAGCCTTGCCAGGGAGATCTGGGTCTACTCAAAGAGGTGGTTTTCTATCTGTGGTTGTGTTGCAGTGTCGGGGGGTTCAGGTGGGTGGTGGGCCTGGGGGTCATGAGCTGGTTGTTCTCTGTGCCTCCAGTCCCAGGGAAGTGACCAGAGAGCTTCCAGGACAGAGGTACTTCCTAATCATCTGACAGCTCTGTAAGGCAGGAACACCAGCCGCTGGTCTGTTCTTACATCTCTGGTCCCCATCACTGCACAAGTGCTGCCTGGAGGCTTCACTCTCCTCCCCGCTCCACTCTCCTTTGCTCATTCAGGTTGAGGAGGTTTTGTTTGGAGTGGGATGTCTGCTGGGCCCGGGGGCTGTGGAGGGGGTTGTCCCTGTGGAGGGACTTCTCCCAGTATGGCTCCATCCCAGCTTTGGGGTTGTGCCTCCAGCCAGGGCTGTGGGCAGAGCAGAAATTGAGCGGGTTTTGCTGATGGGTGGTGTGACGGGTCTGGCCAGGGTGCGGCCCAGCCCTTGGGAATTTCTGCTTTAGAACAAAACCCCTCTGTTGGCTCGGGAGCTCGAGCCTCGCCAAGGAGGTTTGTTGAAAGATTTCTGTCCCTAGTTGGAGTCCTTCTTCAAAGCATTAACGTCTTTCTCTGCCATTTCCTGAGATCCCATAGCAAATACGGGATGATGGACACATCCTGCTGCCAGAGGAATTCCCCTTTTCCTGCTCAGCAGGAACTTAACATTTCTAGGCACAAAGCTGGAAAAGGTCAAAAATGCAAGGGCTGTCCTGCAGCCCTGCCTGGTTTTATGCTGGTGGCTTTTGAATAGCTGCTTAGCGAGCCGAGCAGTTTGCTTTCATTTTGCAGTTTCTTGGTGTGAAGGAGCTGCCTGCTCAGGGTTAGGCTGGTGCTGACAGTGTGGGCACTGCCCTTTGCTGGAACTAGGGATAGTTAGTGCTTGGCAGAGCTGAAAATCTGAATTTCCATGTCCTTTTAATCACTTGGCCTGCTGGCAATGGTAGTAAAGCTATCCTCCTCCTCGAATTATCTCCATGTTTTCCACTCTCTGTTATCTGCTTGTGATCTGGGAACAGCACAAGGCCCTTGGCATTGTGCAGCCCAGTCCCAGGGCCTGGCCTTGTCCTGCTGAGGGATGCAGCTTCCCCTGGCAGAGGAGCTGATCTCTCCCGAGCAGAGCACTTCTGGCAGCTGGTGCCGGTGCCGAGCTGGCTCGGGGCATGGACGGGGCTGAGGAGCACTGGTGCTTGCAGCCCGCTCCCCTGGGCACGCCAGCTCTGCATCAGTAACGGGCTATTTCTGGGTCTCTCTGGTGAGTAATGGAATGAGTCTTGCTGAGATTTTGGGTGGGGCCAGCGCCGCTGAGTCACCGCTCGGGAGCTGCTGGGGCCCGGATCCATCCCAGCCCGGGATGGACACCAGAGGCCGTGGGAAGGAGCTCTGCGTGCGGTGATTCTCGTGGTTTGGAGCCTCTCTGATTCCTCCCGCCCTGTCCCTGCCCGCAGGGAGCCCAGGCAGCTGCTGCCCTGCTCTGCCCGGGTTCGGGCGCTGGCGGGGCTGGCTGCATCAACCAGCTCTGCGCTCTGGTTGGTTTTGGTTTAGATCTGATGTCCGTCAGCCTGGGCACGGGCAGGTCTCAGCATCTGTCTGGGAGTGGGGCTGTTTGTCTCCCCGGGCATCCTCTGTTCCTTGCGCCGTAGATGAGTCTCGTGTCTCCTGTGGATCAGGTTCCAGTGCCTCCCACGGGCCTTCCTGCCTCCCTTGTCTGCCAGATACGAGTCACACAGCAGCAAATCACATTTTGCTGTGGGCAGAGGTGCTTTCTAAGTAAATAGGGAGTGTGTTTAATGTTGAGGCTGCTGGTTGAGGAGTGCTGGGTCCCACTGGACACAGCCCTTTGTCCTCGCTCTTCTCACCTTACAAGTGCTCTTTTACTGTTTGTATTAGTGGCTCCACAGCACCCAGCACCCCTGAACCATTCTGGCTTCGGTCTGTGACCCAAAGTGCTTGTAACCTGCAAAGATCTGGGGCCATGGCAGGCTCTGGCCTGGATTTGGGTGAAACCACACAGTTGGTTGGGCAGTTTAGTTTGTGAGAGCTGGGGTGGTCTCTGAGGCTGCACAGGGGTTTGTGTGACAGCCCTGGGGGTGTTTCATCCAGACTGGAGTTTAGTGGTCACCTGCTAAGTATGCAGAGGAGAGGAGTTCTCTTCAGGCTGCTTTTGAAATGCAAGTGAGCTGCCAAATCCAATTTCTTAATCCTTTACTTGCAGCTAATTATGATGCAGCCTTACTTGGGTTTTTCTCTTTTCCTCCTTTTTATTTCAGAGAAGGGGGAGAGGACAGGCACCAGGCCTTGGTAGGTTCCATGGCAGTGCCCTGGTTAAATGCAAATGGCCTCGGTGTGATCCACTCATGGCAGTGCAGCAGCTCTGGTGTGTGCACAGTCATTTCCCCTGCATCTCACAGATGCTTCAAGCACAAACTGCCCCTTCCAGCCTGGCTGCCCCAAGCAGAGGGGTCTGGAGCAGGGCTGGCTAGAGGATGAAGAGCATGCCTGCCATCCTCAGCAGTTTTCTGAGCATCTGTAATTTCAGAGCAGCGTGTACCTTCCCAGGGATTATACCCTGAGCTGTCAGGGTGTGTCTTGTCCAGGATTTCTGCAGGGACAGAGGGCTGGCAATGTGCTGTGGATGCGTGGGGAGGGGGTCAGGCTCTTTGGCTGAAGCATCTGGGAAGTTGGGGGTGGGAAAGAGATTTTGGGCACGAGGTCAAGGCGGGATGTGATCCCACCATGGCTGGTTTTCTCATGCCTCATTTGGATGCCATGGTAGACGTTTTGTGGCATCGTCCTGGGAGATTCACAGGCTCAGCTTTTGAAACCCAGGCATGTGCAGGCACTTGCAGGACTGCATCCCTTTACAGGGGGCAGAAAGCAGCTGCGTTATGGAGGGGTCTCAGCTCTCTTTGCTGAGCTGGCAGCCTCTCCCGCCGCCGGTGCCAGCGTCAGCTCTCAGCGGTTCTGTGGCAAAAGCTCCTTTGTCAAATGGGCTGGGACTGGGCCAGGCCAGCACTGGGTGCCAGGCACACAGGTCGTGTTTCCCGGATCTGGGAGAGTGGGGCTTGGTGCATTCCTGGCGCTCATCGGATTATCTGGGAGCCGGTGAGTGTGCCCGGGTGAAGCCTGGAGTACAGTTTCTGCTCTGAAGAATTTATAATTTGAAATAAAGCCAGCTGTGTGTGTGACTCTGAGGTCTCAGAAAAGCATTTGCTCGAGGTGGTGGCACAGTGGGAAGCCCAGCATAGGGGTTGGATGCTGGAGGTGTGCCCACGAGTGGCCAGGGGAGCCTCAGTCCTCCATCACTGGCTGCTCACGCTGGGCTGTGCTCGGGACCCTCCCAGGCAGTTGTGCAAGAGACTTTGGGACACGGGAGCTGGAGGGACTGGGAGTGAGGGCTGCCCATGGCTCCTCTGTCCTGCTCACCTGCTCTTGTCCCTGCAGCAATGGCAGCCATCAGGAAGAAGCTGGTGATTGTGGGAGACGGCGCTTGTGGGAAGACGTGTCTGCTGATCGTGTTCAGCAAGGACCAGTTCCCCGAGGTCTACGTACCCACTGTGTTTGAGAACTACATTGCTGACATAGAGGTGGATGGGAAGCAGGTAAAGCCCATCGGTGGTGCCAGAGCTGTTCCTGTCCCCACGGTCCCACGTGGGCAGTGCCACCACCCGGCCCTGACACGCAGGTTGGTCTGGGGGGCTCTGATGCACCTGCAGCGCTGGGGACCCCCATGGCTCCCACCTTTCTGGGTCATGTTGAACCTGCCTCAGTTTGAGGAGGACAAACCTGCTCTCTCCTGGCCTGCCAAGCTGCCTGTGAGCTGCTGAGCCATGTCCCTCCCCTCCCAGGTGGAGCTGGCCCTGTGGGACACGGCAGGACAGGAGGACTACGACAGGCTGCGGCCCCTCTCCTACCCGGACACAGACGTTATCCTCATGTGCTTCTCCATCGATAGCCCGGATAGTCTCGGTAGGGACCAGGGAGGGAGGGGGGACCTGGGGCTCCTGCAGGGACTGGGTGCTGCTGCTAAACCCCCTGGGGTCTTTGAAGCCCCCGTGCAAACCCCCTGGCACATGCTGGTCACTTCCCCCCATGTCCTGGCTTTGCGTGCGCTCCAGGAAAATGCTGTGAACTTGCTGGCTTGGTGGAGGTGGTGAGAGAGGAGGATGCTGTGGAGTGAGCCCAGGGAAGGAGAGTGGGTGGCTGGGGGGGATTTGCACCCCTGGATGGGGTGAGAACAGGGAGGTTTTCACATTCTGAGCAGTTTAGGGCAGTAATGTGCCATTTCCTCACTGCTTAATTTCTACCTCACTAGCTGTTGGGTCACCACAGACTTTTCCTGAGACTCCCCATGTACTCCTAGAAATGTGGGGCACAGGAGTTTAAAGAAAACGGTATTTGAGATTGTGATTTAAAGCAATTCAACAGTGATCTGTGCATGCTGAGAAAATTGACAGATTTGGGATTGTTTTCAATTAGTTTGGCCCTCACTCTGGAATTGTATGTCAGTGTTTTCAAGGCTGACTTTCCAGATAATGTGTCTTGGCATGTTATCCCTGTCCAACATTAGTTGCCTGGTGGTGCTGCTCAGGTCCCTTCAATCATCTTTGTTTCTGCACCTGTTAAATGGGTGTAATTTAGCATATGCTCAATTGCCCCCTCCTTCCATTCCTCGCTTTTAGACATGAGGAGGAAATTCTTTGCTGTGAGGCTGGTGAGACACTGGCCCAGGTTGCCCAGGGAAGCTGTGGCTGCCCCATCCCTGGCAGTGTTGAAGGGCAGGTTGGATGGGGCTTGGAGCAGCCTGGGCTGCTGGGAGGTGTCCCTGCCCATGCAGGGGGTTGGATCTAGATGATCTTTAAGGTCCCTTCCAACCCAAACCAGTCTGTAATTCTATGATTCTCATCTTCCCATGGGAAAAGCCCAGTGCTGGTTCCCATGGCTGTGAGGGGGCTGGGGGCAGCAGCTCCACGGCTCAGGTTGTTCCCCGTGTGCTTGTTGCAGAGAACATCCCTGAGAAGTGGACGCCAGAGGTGAAGCACTTCTGCCCCAACGTGCCCATCATCCTGGTGGGGAACAAGAAGGACCTGCGGAATGACGAGCACACGCGGCGGGAGCTGGCGAAGATGAAGCAGGTGAGGGCAACCCTGGGTCCCTCTGCCTGGGGCAGCCCCTCCCTCTCCCTGTGCCACCTCCCTGGGGCTTCCCTCGCCGCGGGTCCTGACACAGGGGGCTGGGGGCTCTGCTTTTGCTGCTGTTTTTTAGCGGTGGTTCCAAACCTTCTTTTTAATCCGTTCTAGGAGCCGGTGAAGCCGGAGGAGGGGAGGGACATGGCCAACAGGATCAATGCCTTTGGCTACCTCGAGTGCTCGGCCAAGACGAAGGAGGGAGTGCGGGAGGTGTTTGAGATGGCCACCCGCGCCGGCCTGCAGGTGCGGAAGAACAAGAAGCGCAGGGGCTGCCCGCTGCTGTGAGCGGCCCCGGGGCTGAGGGACCTGCTGCTGCCAGGACCTGCCCAGCCCCTCTGCACCAGCGCTGCCACCCAGGCCCCCGGGTGCCCCGCAAGACTCCAGGGCTGTGAGGGGCCAGTGCCTTCAGTGCCCGCTGCTCTCAGTGGGCATGTGTGTAGCTGCCCACATCGTCCCGTTTTGTAGCGGTCTCCCTGGTTTCACCTGTCCCGTGGGGACAGCCACGGTGTCTGCTCTCCCTCCCCAGCCCCAGGAGGTGCTGCTGGCTGTTGCCCACAGCTCCTGGCTGGGCTCTGCTGGCCCCGGGGCGGGCAGCTCGCACCAACCTTTTGTAGGGACTTGCCCAGGGCAGCTCAGCCCTGCCTGCACAGAGCCGGGCTTGGCCGCTGCCTGCAGCTCCCGGGACCCAGCACCTCTGCCCAGCTCTGCCCTGATGCCTTCCAGTCTGCATTGGTCACGGACTTAGCACCAGTAAACTGAACTGCACAATTGGGAAAATAAATGCAAACTGGTATTTTAGTAATTTTAACTCTGCTTGTGTGGCATCCTTTGTGCCCCTGTGCTTGCCCAGGCTGCTGCCTGGGGGCAGGGTCCACACGCTGCAGGGTGAGTGGGGGGCTTGCTTGACCCCCAGCCCCTTTTGCTTCAGCCACTGGTGCAGGGTCAGGGCTTTTCTCCATGTGTGTGGTAAGACCCAGGAAGAAGCTTATGTGGGAAGGGCTGGGCAGGAGCTCCCCAGCCATACTGTGTCCCTGCAGTCACTGGTGGAGCCGTCCATCCTCTACTACCTCCTGGAGCAGGCCAGGGAAGGCTGCAGGAAGCCTGTACCCAATCTAGCAGCCCCAGCTGTGGTGGTGGGGCCCAGGACTTGACATCAATGCACCGTTTTTCTCTAAACCTTCATTCCAGGGAAACAGTGAAGTGTGCCCATGCAACTGTGTCAGCTCTTGGGCCAGGCAGCTGCATGGCAGGGGAGCTCTGCTGGGTCCCTGCCCACTGCCAGCCCCCAGCCACCCACGGCAGAAGCACTGAGCTCCTCTGCACCCCCAAAATGCTCTTTGGAGGCTGAACTCCTGCTTATGCCATTCACTGAACAGCGAGACCAGTTCAAGAGGATTAGCCTTTACACATGTCAAAAATTGCTTAAAATGGAGAGTAGTCCCAGTCCAGTGCTGGTGTGGTCCCACTCTGCGAGGGGAGGTGGCTGCCCTGGGTCTGTGCTGGGGCTCGTGGCTGGCAGGACCCCCGTGGGCCAGTGGGCTTATCCCCATCTGCACAGGGGTACTCGGCACTGGGCGCCCCAGGAGCAAGGCAGGGGAGAGTGGGCAGCTGCTGCAGGACAGGGGCAGGCTGAAGGGGCTGGAGCTCCTCAGGGCTTCTTCTCCTTTCCCAGGCAGGTTTCCTGCAGAGAAATCCCGTGGCAGAGCTGGCCCTGGACTCGGGAGGGGACAGGCAGCCCCTAAGCAAGAGCCTGTCCCGAGGCCTGCCCCGTTGCTGCATGATGGGGCTGCCTGCACCAGCAGCTCCCAGCCCAGCTCACCTGGCTGCTACGGGCTGAGCCGCAGCGCATCGAGCTCAGCAGCGAGCCCGTCCTCTGCTGGGCTCTGCTCGTAGGGGCAGCCCGTGTAGCCACCCTCCTCCTGGCAGTACCTGAGGAACCTGCAGGCAAGGGCAGCGTGGGCAGGAGGTGCCGGTGGCCTCGCTGCCTCCGTAGCCCTGGGCACGGCCAGGCACTGTCTACAGGGAGGAGCAGGGCTCACCTCTGCCAGTGCTGGTCCTTGCTGAGCACGGCCGGGTTACCCACCACAATCAGCAGAGCCTTGGCTCTGGTGATGGCCACGTTGAACCTCTGAAGAGAGACCAAGAGCTTTACCCTGCAGCAGCAGCACTCAGGCCCAGCCTGGCTGCAGGCAGCTCTTATGTGGTGCCAAGGACCGGGAGCAGCTTTCCCAGCCTGTGGGGTACCAGAAGGGAGCAAGGGTGCTGAGGGAGGTGAGCACCTTGGGGTTCTTGAGGAAGCCCAGCTTGAAGGTCTGGTCGAGCTGCAGGTACCCACTGCAGCTGCGCACAGTGGAGATGAGAATGATGCGCCGTTCCTGGCCCTGGAACTCTTCCACGGAGCCCACCTGGAGGACGCAGCAGGTAAGGGGCTAGGGAGCACCCCTGGGCTGGGCTAGCAGGGTGGGCTCCTCTCCCCCCCTGCACCCAGGACCATACCTTCAGCAGGCCGATGTCCGGCAGTGCCCGCAGGTCAGGGTCCAGGGAGGAGATGGCTTTCCGGATCTTCTCCACCTGGGGGGAGGGACACAGCACTGTCCAGCTGCCATGGAGCTGTTCTGTGTGCTGGCACTGGGGCTGCCACCGGTCCCAAAGTCTTTGCCCATCCCATGCCTGCACAGCAGTGCCCCTCACCTGCTTCCTGTAGGGTGAGATGATGCCGACCTCCTTGGGCGAGACGCTGGGGCAGCCGCCCCTGCCCTGGCTCTGCAGCAGCTTCTTGAGGTACTGGACCAGCACCTCGATCTCGGCCGTGTTGAAGAATGAGGGGCTCTTGGCCTCTCTCCGGTCTTCCCCACAAACCCCATGGAAGATGATGGGGAAGCCCTAGGGGTGGAAAGTGTTTGGCTCTGCTCTGCCTGAGCCTCAGGCTTCCACCCAACCCCCTCCCTGCTGACCCCTCACTTTTTTTGGAAGCTCCTCCCAGGTGCAGTACAGACTCCGGACGTCGAGCGCGTCACTCTCGCAGGCCCTCAGCTCGCTGTCGTAGAAGAGCTCGTTGGGGATCCTAAGGATGGCCTCGTGGGACCTGGCAGAGGCAGGACAGTACCCAGGGCAGTGCATGGCAGCCCCAGCACCCTCCGGAACAGTGTGTGCTCCCATCTCCTCCCCTGGCTGGGGCACTGCGAGGCTCTGGGGAGCCTGGGATGCATGCACAGGTCCTGCACCCATCTCAGCAGAGCTGCCCCAGCCCTGCCTGCGTCCATCCCTGCCTGTGAGTGTCCCCACCTGTAGTTCCAGAGCAGTTTGGTGACAAACTGTGGATCATATCCTCCACTGGACTTCTTGTACAGGGGATTGTGCAGCATCAGCCTCTCCAGCAGTGAGGTGCCTGGGCCCGGCACAGACTCCATGGCTTCCTGTGAGGCCACTCAGCCCCCAGGTGCCAGATGTGCTCCCACCCCTCTCCCCACTCACCCAAGCCATGCTTGATGGCCAGTGGTGACCTCAGGACAGGGCCCAGCTGCTGGGGGTCTCCTGCCAGCACCAGCTGCCCCCCGTTGGGGTTGGTCTCTGGGTCCATGGCACTCAGAAGCCCTAAGCAGAGGGAGAGCTCAGTGGGGCATGGGGAGGTCATGGAGGCCAGGCCATGGAGATGCTGGCCCCCAAGCTGCTAGTGGGCACCACTCACCTGCAACGGCAACCATGCTCTCTGGCTCTGCTGCCTGCCCACACTCGTCGATGAAGACATGGGAGAAAAACCCTGGAGGGAATTTGGCTGACACCAGCCTGGGGGAGAGGCAGAGTGAGGCTGTGTGGGTATCCCTCCCCTGGCTGGCTGTCCTTCCTCCCACAGAGAAGAGGTCTCCTCTGCTGCCCACCCTCCTCTACGCCCCCTCCCTGCGGCAGGTTCACCCACCACAGGTGGAGGGGACAATCCCAGGTCCTCTGACCTTCCTGCTGTCACCAGTGTGGTGATGAGGATCCGGTAGTGTCCCAGGTGCTCCTTGCTCGGGTACACGTAGGAACTCTCCCTATCGTCCCAGTTGCAGCAGGGCTGAAACACGAGTTTGGTGGGATCCTGCTCTCCCTGGGGCTGCCAGCCTGGCTGTGCCACGGGGTGCTGGGAGCAGGGGCAGGGACCTACCCTGATATCAGCAGGCACCTCATGGTAGTTCCTGGAGCTGGCAATCATCCTGTAGATGTACCTGGGGGCGATGTCCTTGATGAGGAGCTGGCACAGCAGGTCTGCAGCACTGTTGGAAGGGGCACAGGCCAAGATCCGGGCATCCTTGAAGCACGTCCATACCTAGGTGGGAGGAGGGGGCAATGGTGCTGAACCCCACGGCTGGGGTGGGCAACGATGCTGGACCTGGGCCAAGCCACTCACCTGCTTGATGGCCTCCACCACAGTGACTGTCTTGCCAGTCCCAGGGGGGCCGAAGATGAGGTATGGGGCTGGCCTGGACATCCCTGTCACGATGTGTGTCACAGCTCTGCACTGCTCCTCGTTGGCCTGCAGCTTGCGGTCAAACCACCTGTAGGATCAGAGGCTCAGCACGCTGGTTCCCCGTGCTCATCCATCCTCGTCCATCCTCACTGGTACAGGGACTCACCGGGGCTGGAAGGTGCCTGTGAAAAGGGACCTGTGGCAGGAGGCGGAGGGGAAGAGGAGGCGGGACAGACCACACCGCATGGCCAGGACCGCAGCGCGGTGCTGGACCTGCAGCGGCAGCCGGCTGAAGGTGAAGGTCACATCAAACCTCAGGTTGTTCACAAACTTCTTCTGCAGCCTGGGAAGGAGCAATGTGAGTAGGTTATGGGGATGGACTCCCATGCCCTCCCCAGCCCATCCACAGCCTTTGGCACATTCAAGCAGGGCTTCTGGGGGCCTCCCATCCTGGCCAAGACCAGACACCACTCACTTGGAGGAGAAGCCCAGCTTGACCCTCTCCAGCTCCACGCTGTGCACGTAGCCCTTGTACTGGACGAGTGGGGAGTGGTCCCGCTCACTGCTCAAGTGGACAAAGAGGTGGTCCCCCTTCAGCACGGACGGGCGGTTCTCGGCCACGCCAGGCACCTGTGCCAAACAGACAGTGTGATGCTGGGCACCAAGGGGCCCTGGCACCCCCTGTCTCCCCAGCTCCTACACACATTGAGGACTAGCAGCGCCCTGTCCTGCACCATGGGCACATCCTGCATGTCATAGCGATGGATGTCCACCTCCATCTGGATCTCCTCCAAGTGCAGCAGCAGCTGGAACTTCTTCTGGTAGTTCTCAGCCTGCAGAGGAGCCTCCAGCTGTGATCTGTGGGCAGCAGAGATGTCACCATGCCCCAGGGACTCCTTGGCCAGGGGGCAGTGGGTAGGAGGTGCATGGCTGGGTGGTCTTTTTCCCACCCCTCTGTACTCACTGCATGGCAGCCCAAGTGGAGCTGGAGTTGGGTCCGAGCAGGATTGTGTCCTTGAGGCTCTTTGGGTATTGGTAGGGACCCAGAGGAATTTCCCTCTCCAGTTCATTTTTCAGGGAGCTGGGCAGAAGGAACAGCAGGGACTGCAGGGCTGGGGTCCTCCAAGGCTGCAACCACCCCAGGGTCCCCAGCCCTGCTGTCACCAGCCATCACCCAGGGATGAAGCACCCAGGATGCTGGACAGTCAGGTCCCAAGGAGCTGAGCCTTGCCCTGGCCAGAGAACAGGCCTCAGCACAAGGTGGGAGCCACATACCTGGGGGGGGGGATGCCATCCTCAGTGACAACAGTGACAGGGCGCTGGAGACTGGCCTGGTAAGGCTGGTAAGGCGCTGAGGGCCCCAGGTCCTTGGCCAGCTGGCTCTCAGCGACAGCAGCGATGTAGCGCCCGATGCAGAAGGGCTTGTTTGGCTCCTTGGTGAACTCAAAGACCACCATGGTGCAGAAGTACCCATTGCAGGAGGTCAGGCACCGCACCTGGATGGGGTACGTGCCGCCTGCAAGGTGAAGAGCCGAGAGCTGGGGCCTGCATCTGCTCCAGGGCGGCAGGGCGCAGGGCAGGGGCTGGGGCCCTACCTGGGTGCAGTAGCAGGGACTGGCCCTGGGTCACCCCCTGCTCATCCTCAAAGGAGAGCTCTGGTGTCGGCTGGCAGGGCTGGCAGCGCTGCAGCGTCACTGGCTCTGCCCCCCGGGTCTGCACCAGCACGGTGACCGTCCGGGGCTCGCCAGGCACCACTGGGAAGCGGATGTGCCCATTGTCCTCGTCATGATCCGAGACAATCTCCACCCCAGTCTTCCCATGGATTAACTCAGCCCTGTGGGAAGGAGAGGGTCAGGCTTTCCCAACCAGGGCAGGGATCCCCGGAGCTGTGCTGGGGCAGGCACGGGCAGGGTGTGCCAGACATACCAGTTCTTGGCAGAGGTTGGGGACCCTTGTGGACCGGAGCTGGGCTGTTGCTCTGGGGCAGACCTGGACACCAATGCCTTTGCATTTTTTCTGGGTCTCCGGTACTGGTCTGCCACCACCACACGCTTCTTCTGCTGTGAGGAGCAGTCAGCATCAGCATGGCCCCAGGGTGCTGCCCTGGGCTGGGGCTCTCATGGAGCCAGTCCTGGTGGGTACTGGAGCCACTGCTGTGCCCCAGCCTGGGACCTCCCTCACCTTCTTGAAGTGCACCAACTGCCCACGAAGCTGCACCTGGTGGGTCACCTTCAGTGCGTACAAGGTGCAGGAGAAGTTGGGTATTTTGGTATCAACACTGCACAGACAAGAGAAGGAGGTTTCTGTGTGGGATGAAGCACGGCCAGGCTGCCGGGGCACAGGCAGCTGAGAGGAGGTGAGTAGGAAGGGAAGGTGAAGCAGGACATAGAGCCTGGGGTGAGGGACTACCCTCTGTGCCAGGAGAAGGAGAAGGGCTTTTCACCGGCCCCATGCAAACCTTACATCCCTGCAGGATGCTCCAGCAACCCCATCCTGCAGCATGGCTGTTCCAGCTGTGCCATGGCATTCCAGATGTGCCATGGCATTGCTGTCTGGCCATGCAGGCCCTGTCCCTGCCAGTGCACAGGTGACAGCAGGACAGGGACACACGTCCCTCTCCACAGATCCTTCAGGGGCTGAGCCAATGCAGCAGGGGCTCCTCCAGCGCCCGGCCACTGCGCTCCCAGCAGCAGCGCCTCCCCAGGCACCTCCTCCCAAACCGGGGGCCAGCTCCCGCAGCTGCCGGTGGGCTGAACCCCGGCGTTACCGATGATGAACAGCGGTGACGCTGCATCGGGGCCGGCAGG